GCTAACGAAGTATAGCCACATGCTGGAAGCCGCCCTCCATGTGTGAAGCTGTTGCAAGTTTCTAAGCATCAGGGTCATAGATGGTGAAAAGGTCTCAGGCGAAACGCCCTGCCCGCCCTTCCGACTGGCCTTGGGTGTGCGACAGGACGGAGTCAATTATAAGGACAAGGAATCGAGGAAGATGGGGAGGGAGGAGGAGGAGGAGGAGGAGGAGGAGGAGGAGGATAAGGATGAGCGCGAACGCATTGGAAGACGCGCCGAGTCGGGACGACGGGATGGCAGAGGCAGCTCGCGATGGGTGGCGCGCGCAGCCTGACACACAATGTGAGGCCGACCTCGAGGCAGAGCCGCACGGCGTTCGCCCGGCCTGGACGTCTGCGACACGGGGGAGATCGGGGGCGGAAAAGAGGGGGGTGATGATTAGGGGGGGGGATATCATGGCGGGGGCCATGATATTTCCCCAGATTTCATGGCGCCCCTTCTTATTTCATTACGTCCCTGGCCCCCCCGCTGGGCCGCGCACATGCCGCCGGTCATGATTTGCACCCCCCCTCTTGGACACCCCCCTCTTGGCCGCTCCCGAGGGAGAGGGGCAGAGGATGCACGCCGATCGTTGAAAGTAGGTATCTCTGGATTCCCAGACCGCAATCTACTCCAAGCGCCTTCCTACTTCAAGAGCGAAGCTGGGGATCGGAAGCCGCCACCGTTGCACGAGAGAGAGGCCACGTGATGCATCTCTTGAGAGGAGCAGGGCCCTTCACACCGTCCTCCCCCCTGGACCTCAGAGGCGCCCGGCCCCGGAGGAGGGCGAGGGGGCGGACGATGGGCAGGAGGAGAGATCAAGACATGGGGGGGGCAGGAGAGATGAGGTGAAGGGGGGAGTGGGCCCTGGAAACGACAGGGCCGTTTTCTTACCGGTTCCGTTTTGCCGTTTTTGTTGCGGGTTCCGACGCCGTTTTTTACTGGTTCCTGCGCCGTTTTTTGACCAGTTCCGGCTCCGGTTCCAATCCTGCAGCCGTTTTTTTGCAGTTTCCAGTCGCCGTGTTGTTGCCGTTTCCATTTTCAAGGAACATGTTTTTGGAAACGGTGAAAAAACGGCCCTGCCGTTTCCCGGGCCCACAAAGAGAGATGAGGCGAAGGAGGAGGAGGAGAGGGAGGAGGGGGAGGAGAAGCGGAGATGGCGGAGGAGGAGGATGACCCTTCACCCTACTTGTCCTCCTCCTCCCCCAGATCTCAGCAGGTTCTCCCCGAAGGGGGAGGAGAAGGAAGAGAAGGAGGAGGAGGAGGAGGAGGAGGAGGAGGAGAAGGAGGAAGAAGAAGAAGAAGAGATGAGGAAGAGGACGAGGAGGAGAGGATAAGGAGAAGGAGGACAGGAAGGAGGAGGAGGAGGAGGAGGAGGAGGATGAGGGGAAGAGGAGGAGGAAGAGGAGGAGGGTGGATGCGGAACCAGAGGATGAGTTGGAAGAGTCGGAGAGACGGTGCCCTAAGTCATCCCCCCCTCTCTCCCCCACACCTGGGGCGGCGCGAGGACGCCGCGCCAGAGCAGCCGTGTGTGCGGCCGAGGGCGTTTTCGCCGGCACCAGCCACGCCGCGTCATTCTCCCAGGAGGACGTGCCTCGTGTCTTCATTATTTGGTTGGGCTCTCGTTTTGAGCGTAGCACCGTTGTCGCGTCTCCCCTTTTCCTTCCCCTCCTCATCTCACCTGCCTCTAGTATCCCCCAGGAGGACGTGCCTTGTGTCTTCCTTAGTTGACCCTCCTGTGTTGGGCTCTCGTTTTGAGCACAGCACCGTTGTCGCCTCGCCCCTCCTCCTCCCCCATCCTCATCTCACCTGCCTCCAGTATCCTCTCTTCTGCCCTACGCCTCTCTCGCGGGCTCCTGGGAGGGGGGGCCTCGTGGCTTCCTCCTCTCTCGTCGTCACTGTCGTCCTCCATTCTCTCAGTTCTCCTCCCTTCTCTCCTGCGTCTCCATTTTCGTCTCTTCCCTTCTTCATTATTTCCCTCCATTCTCTTCTCTTCTTCGTTCTCTTCTTCCTCCCTTCTCTCCTGCGTCCTGCTTGCACCGCAGCGCCGTTGAGACCTCGCGGCTCCCTGTGGGATCTCGGGAGGTCCAGCGGAGTGGAGTTTCACGGGTGACCCAGTTGAGACCTCGCGGCTCCCTGTGGGGTTGCGAGGCGTGAAATTGTCACCATTTTCGTGGGCTCCTGGAAGGTCGCGCGGAGAAGGGTTACACTGGGACCCAGTTGAGATCTCGCGGCTCCCCGGGGGGGGGGGGGGCGAAGCGAGAAAGTTTCGCCACTCGCGTGGATTCCTGGGAGGTCGTGCACACTGGAGCTACACGGGGACCCAGTTGAGACCTCGCGTCTCCCAGGGGGGGCTGCGAAGTCTGAAAGTGTCGCCATTTTCGTGGGCTCCTGGGGGGTCGCGCGGAGTGGAGTCCCACGGGGACCCAGTTGAAACCTTGCGGCTCTCTGTACGGTTGCGAAGCGTGAATCAGTCGCCATTGTCGTTGGCTCCTCGGAGATCGCCCGGAGTGGAGTTACACGGGGACACAGTTGAGACCTCGCGGCTCATTGGGGGGTTGCGAAGTGTGAAAGCGTCGCCATTTTCGTGGGCTCCTGGGAGGTCGCGCGGAGTGGAGTTACACGGGGACCCAGTTGAGACCTCGCGGTTCATTGAGGGATTGCGAAGTGTGAGACCTCGCGGTTCATTGGGGGACACAGTTGAGACCTCGCAGTTCCGGGTTGCGAAGGGGTGAGATTGTCGCCACGGTCGTGGGCTCCTGGGAGGTCCAGCGGAGAGGCGTTTGACGGGGACCCAGCTGAGACCTCGCGGTTTCTTGGGGAGCCGAGCCGCGTGAAGCCGTCGCCGTGGTCGAGGGTTTCCTGGGAGGTCGCGCGGAGTGGAGGTACAGTGGAGGCCCATGCCAAGAAACACCCTGCTTGCCTCCAGGGTGCCCTGGGTTTCTTGGGTTTCGATGGTTTTGCCATGTACAGCGTGACGTTCCCCCACCAAAGATCGATGGACGCCATGGGGTCTCAGGGTTGGGTTTCTTGTGGAGGGTTTCTTGTGATCGGGCCCCTACTGTACACGGGGACCCAGTTGAGACCTCGCGGTTCCCTCGTGGGGGGGTGGGGGGGGGGCGAGATGTGGAATTGTCGCCACGCTCGCAGGCCTCTGGGAGATCCAGCGGAGCAGAGTGTTACGGGGACCCAGTTGGGACCTCGCGGCTCCTTGGGAGGTTGCGACGTGGCAAATAGCCAGTGCCCCCTAATGATGTGGGCTCCTGGGGTGACCAGCGGAGTGGAGTTCCAACGGGGGCCAGGTTGAGACCTCGCAGCTCCCTGGGAGTTGGGTCGTGTGAAACTCACCACCCACCAAACCACCCCAACCCAACCCGAAGGTCCAAATTTACCCTCGATTTCCAGTGGGGGGTGGTCGGGGAACACTGAAAAAACACATGGAATCCGTACCCCCCCCAACCCGAAATTCGGGTCAAATTCGGGTTTTCGGGTTGGGTTGGGGTGGTCTGGTAGGTAGTCAGAAACTGTTGCCATTTTCGTGGGCTCTTGGGAGGTCGCGCGGGGTGGAGCTACACGGGGACCCAGTGGATGCCCAGCGGCTCCCTGGGGAGCGCTGCGAAGTGTGAAGCTGTCCCCCGTGCCTCCCTGCGCGCGCCGTGCGCCCTGGTGCGCCCGCCTCGCTGACCGCGACGCGCCGCCAGGCTTCAGAGCGGATGGCGCTGTTCTTCACCAGCCTCGAACTTATCCTTTCCCTAAGATTGACACGCCGAAAGGCGACGACAATCTTAGGGATGCGCCCTCAAAACCTGAGGGAATCCCGAACATTGGCATCGTGATGGGGCGATGCCCAGCATAGGAATAGGGATATGTCCCGGGCTGGTAAGTTCTGTCCCGCGTATGTAGCTCTTGGCGTGGTTATCGGGGGCGGCAGAGAGGGGGGTGATGATTAGGGCCATGATATTTCCCCAGATTTCATGGCGCCCCTTCTTATTTCATTACGTCCCTGGCCCCCCCGCTGGGCCGCGCACGTGCCGCCGGTCATGATTTGTACCCCTCCCTCTTGGACAACCCCCCTCTTGGCCGCTCCCGAGGTTACTGTCATTGAACACGTATGTCCCCTCTTCACCCTCCTCCGCATGCTTCTTTCCCCGTCCCCATCTTGCCATTCCTGCGTGTTGGTGTAGCTCACTTCTGGGAGCTCATGCGCACTGCGAGTCCTTCAACGTGCTTGCTTATAGTGGTCGGTCCTACATGTATTCCCCATGTGTTTTGAAAGGTCGGGTACGTCACCAGGTACATTGTTTTGCAGCGCGGGACACGTTTGGGCAATTGCGGGGGATGCTAAGGTGGGTTGTATCTGGCCAAACCAAGCTTGCGCCCTAGGCAGCTGAGTGGGGGTAACTATCCAGGCTAGGTGTGCTCCGCCCACTGCGCTGCGGAATTACCGAGCAGGACAAGTTCAAATAACTGATAAGCCAGGTTCGCCCAGATACATTCGACCTTGGCATCCATTAATCACGCAGTATCCCTTTAGTACCCAGCGAGGTGATCCAAGCAGGAATGCAGACATGGGATAGGATATATTCAGGAGATAGTTCCTTCTCGTCTTCCGTCTCAGGGCTCTGTTGGCCCGTCGGACGCTTGCGAAGCCCACCTTGGGGTCAACTTTGGGCCGTCTTGGTGGCTTCTGGGGATGATGTAGGGCCGTCTGGGTGTCTTATTGGCCTTCTTTACGGTTTCGTGTGCCGGCTTGGGGCCCTCTTGGAGGCCTCTGGGCCCACCTTGGGGCTCTCCTGCTTACTTCGTGGGCCGTCTTGCGGCTATACTGCGGGAATCTGAGGACGTCTTTGGCTGTAGGAATGCCGGAAAGGCGAGCACGCGACAATATGTAAAACAAGTGTGTGAAAATCAATGATTTTGGCCTCTTCGTACCCTCCCGGAGGGCCTCTTGGAGCACCTATGTGGCGTTTGGAGGCCTCTTGGGTCGCCTTTACGCAGTATGACGAAATCTTGAGGTCATCTTGGTGTCATCTTGGGCCGTCTTGGAGTCGTCGCGTCTGGCTTGGAGACACTACTTGCTGTCATTTAGGCGTCGCGGGTCGTCTTGGAGGCCATCTTGGACCGCGTAAGGCCGTCTCGGGGGTCATCTTGGGCGTCATGTAGGCGGAGGAAACGCCTTTCTGGCTTTTCTGGGTGGCTTGAGGGTTGGGCCGGACGCCACGAGGAATTTGCGATTGTTTTTTCCCGTAAGAGCTCCGCCCCTTGCCGGCCTCTTCTCTATCAGGATGGGATAGATCAGAGTCGCGTCGGTGCGTCTCGGCGCTGCCTTGGCGCATCTGGGAACATCATGCGGGGGCGGATAGGAATCATCAGCGCATGCTGAGACCTTGGCGTTATCGAAGACGCCTACGGCGAATCACCGCCGCCCCCTGCCTTTCTGGAAGCGCCTATGTGGCCGAACGTTGAGGCCAGAACTGCCAAGCTATCGGACCATGTGTTCCCCGAATCGGTTTGGAAAGCCTTCGGGGAACACGTGGGCATCTTGAAGGTCATCTTGGCCGTCTGGAGGCCATCTTGACCCTTTCGGGCCTCCTTGGAGGGCTCTTGTGCTGTCTTGGAGGCCATCTTGAGCGTCTTGGAGACCTCTTAGGCAGTCTTGGGGGCCTCTTGGGGCCGTGTCTTGGGCCTCTTGGGCGATCTTTGGGTGCACTTGGGCCGTCTCGGGCCTTCAGAAGGCAGAAAAAAAACAGATCCCACAATCCTTCGAAAAGCCTTGGGAAATCAATGATTTTGGCCTTTTCGGGCCTTCCTGGAGGCCCTCTTGGGCCGTCTTGGGCCATCTTAGGGCCACGTTCGGCCGTCTTGGTGGGCTCCTGGTCCGTCTGACGCCGTCGGAAGCCGTTTGGGAGGCCTCTATGGGCCGACTTGGGGCCCTCTTGAAATGCTCCAGGGCCGTCTTGGAGGCCATCGTGGGCGCCTTGGAGGCCATCCTGGGCGTGTTGGAGGCCTCTTGGGCCGTCTTGGGGCCCTCTTGGGGCCGTCTTGGAGGCTACTTGGGCCGTCATGGGGCCCTCTTGGGCGATCTTGGGACGACTTTGGGGGGCCCCCTTTCGCCACACGGAAGCCCGCCCAGGAGCCACAAAAAAAAAGCCTCCACCCCCTCCCCGCACACAGGACTTCCACGACGACCCACCCCGAAGCACGACGACGACGAGTTGGCGAAGGCGGCGACGAATGCCACGACGACGACGACGACGTCGGCCTGTGCCCGGCAGGATGCCTTCCTCGCCTCCGCCGGTGCCGCGCGGGGTGCGGCGCCCCGCCAGCTGCTTCTCGCCGGGCACCGGGTGCCGGGTGCTGGGGCAGCAGGCGCCGCGCGGGGCACGCGTCCAGGCGGCGGCGGCCGCGCGGCGGTGGCGGTGGCGGCGAGGGCGGCGCCCGTGGGGGTGGTGGTGCAGGTGGTGATGCTGGTGATTCTGACGGTGACGGTGGTGGTGATTGTGATGGTGCTGATGGTGATGATGATGATGAGGAGGAGGAGGAGGAGGAGGAGGATGGCGGTGATGCTGATGATGATGCTGCTGCTGATGATGATGATGATGATGATGATGATGATGGTGCTGATGATGATGACGGTGGTGATGATGATGATGATGATGATGATGATGATGATGATGATGATGATGATGATGATGATGGTGCTGATGATGATGATGACGGTGGTGATAATGATGATGCTGCTGATGATGATGATGATGATGATGATGATGATGATGATGATGATGATGATGATGATGATGATGATGATGACGGTGGTGGCCTCTGGGGGCCCTCGCCAGGTCCCAGGACGGAGGGGAGAGGGATGCGCGGGAGTGCGAACAGCGAGCAGTAATCATCTGCGCTCGAGCTTGGCATAGCCGAACAGTCTCGAGCATGCAGGCAAATCGAAGATAGACAGGATCACCATCGCCAGCGTTACAGCAATCCATGTGATCACGCTGGGACCCTCCCAATCCAGCACGTCGCGTGATCGCAGTGCGACCCGCCAATCCAGCCTGGGATCGCTAGTTACGTGCCAGTGATTGGTCCACAACGTGGCCCGATCCGTCCGGAATGAGGCCATCACGTGGACCTGCGATATCGCGGGACCGCTGTGTGGCCACCAACAACCAGCCATCCAGGCGCGTGTTGCGTGGTGGGAGCGGGTTTGAGGGTCCCTCGTCGCCACGGACGGAAATCGCCTCACAACGTCCTTTGGCCAGAACTGTTCCCATGAGGTCTCGGGGGCACCCTTCTCGCGCTCCCTTGTGCTTCCTGCCGTCGTGGCCCCCTCCCCGTTCTCCCGCTCGCGCACGTATCTGAAGAGCGACATTGGGAGTGGAGTCAAGGGAGGAAAAGCCACCCGGACCGGACAATTGGCGTTTTTTGAACGGCCCTGGGCGTTTACCAAAGAGCCCTGCCCTGTTCGATTCTTTCTGTGGGCGCGTTTCCTAAACGGCCTCGTTTGTCGGGGTGGTTATTCTGGGGGTGGATTCTTTGCCCTCTACTAACATTCTGCCCACACCGTCAGCTTCTGCACCAGACCCGGAGAGGCTCGCGCCCGCGCGCGGTGGCTTGATGCGACGGCCTGGGGGGAGAAAGTGGAGGAGGAAGAGGAGGGAGAGGAGGAGGAGAGGAGGAGCAGGAGGAGGAGGAGGAGAGGAGGAGGAGGAGGAGGAGGGGGTGGATGTTGCACCGTTCGGCACGTCAGTTCACACACTGCAGTAACACGCTTTACGTCTCTGCTTGCGCATCCCCGCACCCCTTTCTTTTCTCTTCCTATGGGTAAGTCGGGCATGTCCCTCTACAGGGGGCATATCCAAGAATAGTCAAAAACATAATTGGGGGAGTATTGTTTCAGTATTTCTGTTGACCATTTGAGAGTATCTTTTGAGTATGTTTTATGTGTCGTCGAACATCCCCCTGTACGGGGGACACGCCCGACTTAATCCTGTGGCTCCAGGGGCACGGGCGCCCCGCATTATTCGGGTATGGCCAGGACCCCAGGTAAGGGGACCCGGTTAGTGGTAGGGCCCCGGAGCCCCTGAATTGGCCAGAACCACTAAACCAGGTTTGCCGCAGACGGGGCTTTTTCGGGTGACGGCAGTTCCGGTTAGAGGAACGGGCGGGGGGGGGGGGCGTCCCCCGGTAATAATCTCTAAACCAGGTCCCATTTAACCCAGTTGTGCCAACGCCCGAATTATTCCAGAGCGTGGTGGCCGCGTGCACGTGCATCTCGCGCACACGCCGCGCTGGGCCGTGCCCCTGATGGGGGCGCGGGCCCGGCGCTCTCGGGGAGCGCTGCCTGTTTGGCAACTTGCAGGGCGTCGTGGCCTCGGGAGCGCGGACAGCGCGCTGGGTGTAAGCTGTAAGGGCGCCCTCGAGGGCGCGAAGTTCTTCGCGCTTCGCGGTTCGGCTCCGATTCCTCCTCGTCCTCCTCTGCTCCCCTGGGCGGCGGGCGGCGCGAGAGAGAGCGAAGTGATTCGCGCTTCGCGCAGCGCGAAGCGCGAAGTTGGGAGCCCTTGAAGATGTGGGCAATCTTTATGTCCATGTCCAGGGCGTCGTGGACTTTCGTGGAGGGGGCGCCGCAAGGCCGAGGCGCACTGGATGTGGATAAGATTCGAGCCTCTGGTGGGGGCCCGACTCTTAGCCATATCCGGTGCTCCTCGGCTTTCTGGGGAGGGGAGCCCGAAGCCCAAAGTTGCAGCGGACATGGACACACGTTTTGCCCGCATTGCAAGGAGTCGTGGCCTCGGCAGCGCGGGCCTCGCAATGTGCGAAAAGTGTCGTGGCAGGGGGGGCGCGCGTCCGAGTCACTCACAAGGGGTAGTCGCCATCTGCGCGCGCGGATCTATTCTCGAGGGCTCCCTCGAGGGCGCGAAGTCATTCGCGCTTCGCGGTCCTTGTTCCTTCTCCCCCTCCTCCTCGTCCTCCTTCTCTCCCTTTGGGGGGGCGGCGCGAGAGCGCGAAGTTGTTCGCGCTTCGCGGAGCGCGGATTGCGAAGTTGGGAGCCCCAGATTCTACTTTACAAAGGACCGCGGGGACCAGACATCGCAGCGGACTCCCCGGAGAGCAGCGACAGGTTGAGAGGGTGCCGCGTGGAACGGCACAGGGGAGGGCCTTTACACCAATCCCCCACACCCCCACCGCAGCACTGGCGCCAACCAGATCTGACGGCTCATTGCATGGAGGCCCCACTGGGCGGCCACATTCAACCCGCATAGTAAGGATGGGCAACGATGGGCAACCTTCCCAAGGGTATTTGTGCATCCTTCCCTTTCGGCCCATCCTTGGCCGCTTTCGCTGACAGCGCCCCGCTTGCAAAGTGTCCTTGCCGCGCATTCTTATGATGCGGGTGTACAGCGCATCCTCACCTTGCATCCTCACCGCGCATCCTTGCCGCGCAGGGCCCTTTGCATCCTTGCCGCGCATCCTCCGAGCCGCCGCAGTCCGCACGTGCGCGCGTCGATTTGGGGTGCGTGGTGCCCGCAAGCCCTCGGCGCGAGATGCTTCGAAACGATCTTGCGTTTGACTCGGGGGATCGGGCCGGGGCCCCGCCTCTGCTCGGCCCCACGTTAGCCTCGGAGTCTCGGGGCCCCCAACTACCCAGTCACACAGACGACGATCACCCCGCGCATGCGTTGAACCGTAGGGGATGCCGCGGCAGCGGTGCAACCGTCTAGCACTGGCACTCAATGGTGCGTTTGGTACGTCCTTGTGTCTTTTTGTAGGGCATTCGCGTTTTCCAGCAACGACAGAGTTACCATTTGACCTCGCGCCCGCGCAACGGCTAACGACCGGCGTGGTCGTATCATTTCCCGCATTTTCGCGTTGGGTCATGGGCTTTGCGAGCGAGATGGGCTTGGAACAGTCGCGCTCATCTGGACAGGATGCGCTGTGATCGATGCATTCTGTTCGGATGAGCGTGCAGTCGGGGTCC